TTTTAGTATTTTTCACAGTGTAAGAATGTTGCCACAATTCAGGAAACAGAATACAGAGATCCAGTTATCTAGTAACAAATCATCAACAAATCACTAAAAATAAAACTGACATCAGTTTTCAAACTGTACGTGTTGATCTAACCCTCAAATCAGACTTGTTTGCAAATTTTCAGTGTCAATACCACAATGTCTTCTATTACTTTGAAAACCAGTGGATACATTATATTTCCAGTAATGAAAATATGAAGTATAATCCAGGTCTACTTTTCCTGGGTCCTTTTAACAGTTAGCGCATCCTATAACCAAAGAAGCACAGACTTCATCCAAACTGTTCAAGGACACAAGCTTTTAGAACAAAAACTTTAAAAATAAATACCTGGATATTTTCTTTTAAAGGAAGTGACACCTAAATATTCACTGACTTGCTCCTGAAGCATATAGTATTCTCCTGTTTCATCAGGTGGCCATTTATATTCTATCAAATTTTCAGCAGGAAAATAACTATACCTAAACATAAGAACAATGTTACAACAAATCACAACAATCTTTAATAATACTACTGACATCTCTAGAAATTCAGTAATTCCCATTTATATGTCAATGAACAGTAACTACAAAGTTGGACAAGCACTTTAAAACACTGCATCCTGTTAACCCATTTCAAGTCACTTTGTTGTACCCAACTTCACATATATTTCTCTAAATCTCCATTGATCAACATGCTAAGGGACAGAATCTGAAGAAACTGATATCCATCATAATGGAGAGGATACCAGAAAAAGAAACTACTACAGAGTCAAAATTCATTCAAGTATGCAATGTCTTAAAAACACGTAAACTGTGCTTCTGATTGTAACATTTTGTGGCATTCTAAAATAAAATGCCTTAAAATATGCTGGGAGCAACAGACATCGAGCTATTTATATGACATCACCTCAATTTGTAAACACGTATGACGAACACACAAGTAATAAATAAAGAGCTAATACTTAAGCATGCTGAACAATAAAGTCAGACTTACAAAAAAAAGTAGGAATTGCAAAAAACAGTATTACCCAACGTCTTGACTGGAAGTTTCACAGCTCCGAGAACTGTCCCCTGAGCCCATACGCCGTCTTTTGGATGGCTGGCTGCCATCATTGGAATTTTCTTCTGTGTCATCCTGAAATGAAAATAAATATTTAAAAAATGAGACTACTCCAAAGATAACGTAAAACACCAAAAACACTGCAAGGCAATCCACAATTTAAATATACTTGAACTGCTAAGCCATTCTACGACGGTCTTAAACAACTCACAAAACAGTCTACATAACAAATTATTCTTTGTTATAAACTATCTGCATGACATGTGGTAGGCCAGCAGAACTGGGCAGCTTCTCACCTGTGGCAGAGGCAGAGCTCTGAATAGACAGAGCTGTAGCTCTGACCACCAAGTTCATAATTCCTGACGTAAACTACTTCTTGCACTTGACCAGACTAGCACTCCACACCAAAAGCAAGTGCAAAGCAAAAACCCCTACTCCTTGCTGACAGCTGATGCTTACAAAATCAGGGAAAATTATTACTGAAAACAACACAGGAGTTTATAGGTATACAGTTAAAATAAAAGGACTATCTTTGCAAGCAAATAGCAAATACATGTGTCTTGAGATGAAAAAATATACAGAAGAAAAAACCCAATTTGGTATTACAATAGATACAAAAGAGAATAAGGTTCTTACAAGGGAACATTCAGACAGGTGTCATTATTCAGATTTCATGTGATCAATATAATGAAAGGGAATAAAGTATGAAGAGGAGCAAAAAAAGACCAAAGCAAAACAAAGAGTTCTGTAAAATCTAGAAGACAGTGACTCAGTTTATGTTGCATTTTTCACTGCTCTGTTGTCCCATAATGCTGTGCAACTCCTACCTGCATCATTAACAATCTCAAAGCATATAGTGACCTACTCTGTCTGATCATAACTGAGATACAGAAAGCAGAAATCTTTAGGCGAATTGCCTACAGTGACCAGTAGTTGAGTCAAGAACAAAACAGTTCTTCAAGTAATTGAATTTCTGAAGTGGAGCAGAGTGACAGAATTAATTTCTTAACTTCTGTGAAAAGTTTAAACAAGAGGAATTAACCTGTCAGAAATAAATGGCTCAAGCCCAACTATACTTACTCATTTAAAAATTACAACAATGATTATTAGGTCTACCTTTGCTAATGTCTTTCATTCTAGTATGTTTAGCAATGTATGACTTGAAATATCAATTTAAAAATATTCCAGCAAACAAGAATACATTACTTTTACTAAGCAACATTTCACAACATTATAATCAAGACAGGCCATAGACAAAAAGCATTTTTCTCCGGGATTTTTGGCTTATTTCTTCTTTTCTTCAATTTTTTACAAATATTTTTCTTCCTCTTTAAGGAGCAAGAACATCTTTCACACAGTAGTAAAAACTGAAAAGCGAATTTTAATGAAACTGTGTTTTCTTCGCACAGCCATCCTCAAAAAAATGCAGTATGCAGCATCTCCACCACATTGCCAGTAATGCCACTTCTTAGTATTGCTGAGACTATGCTGTGTGAACTCAGACAAATGAAGCAGCAGCCCCAGTCAAAACAAGATTGCCTCAGAGTATTTTGTGACACAGCTGTCCCATCAGTACTTCATCTCTACTTCCCACAAGAATATTCATGCACTCCAAATTTTTTAACTGCTAGACAAACACCTGAACAGGGCCAAAGCAACCCTCTGGTATATCAAAACTTCCAAGACTTCAAAATGTCATTAAAAGACAGACCTCAACCTGACAGTTTGGTGGAAGTGCCGGATATCAGTTTCTCATTTCACTTTGTAATTTTTCATTGATTATACCCGATACTATTACAAAGTATGAGTATTCACAACATAAGAGATCAGTGCTCTCTATTTCCATACTTGCTTCCTTATTTGCTTAAAATTTCACGAAATTCAATGACACAAGTTCAGTTTGTTGCAGATGACTTGGTATATAAAGCAAAAACATCTGCAATCTAAAGGCACAATGCTGTTCAACCACCTTTACTGTTCAAAAACAGAAAAAAGGGGATAGCTCTGTGGCTCTCTTTACATGAAAAGTCAAGCACTGTCCAAAAAAGCCCCTTTCTCCCTGAAAACGCACGTTTTTGTATAAAGCTTCTCAGTCCTTACGAAACATGGTGACGTTACAAACTTCTGGTAAGTCTGTCACTCTTAAGATCGACGTAACATTGCTTTATTAAGCGATCGAGAAGCCTGAACTGCCCGAGACTATATCAAAGGGCGACTGCCGATCTGCGCTGGGAGTCTTTGGCGCCACAAGCGCCCGCGATGCCTGGGATGCGCGGGAGCAGCCGGAAGGGCCAACGCGGAACTGCCCGCCGCCAGACCTAAACTTTCCCGGCTGCGGCGCTGCCGCGGTGAGGACTCAACTGCCGCGCCGCCTCCGAGAAGACGCAGAGGGACTTTTGGGAAGGAGGACGGCCCCGGGCACCCAGCCCCAGACCCGCGCTCAAAGTTCGCCCCAGGGCGCCGGAGGCCGCCGGCCGCGGCCCGGCTCCCCCAGCGGGCGTGAGGTGAGCCCGGGGTGGGCTGGGCGGGTCGGGTCGGGTCGGGTGAGAGGCGCGGGTCAGGGCGCCCAGGCGCGGGGGCCGCGCGAGGCCTCCCGCCGGGGCGGCTGTTGCGCCGCAGCTCCGCGGCCGCCGCCACCCGCTCTCACCTTGAGGGACTGCGCGCCGGGCGTGGCCGGGTCGCTGTCGCAGAGACGCGGGGACAGCACGGCCGCCATGGCCGCCGCCGGCTGAGCCAACAGGAGCGGCGACGCCGCCGCCGCCGCCGCGCG